CTCGCACTCACCCTCGCACTCACCCTCGCACTCACCCTCGCACTCACCCTCGCACTCGCACTCGCACTCGCACTCGCACTCGCTCTGAAATTTTGTCCAGAGCAGACGAAACAAGGCCAACAGAGTTAACTAGTACACGGAAGAGGCCTGTCGATGTTGTAAGGAGTTGAGAGGTTCTGAGGGATCGCTGTGTGGTGGTACAGGTTGGTAGGTGGGCGAGGCGGAGTGGGCAGGAAAGGGGTGGAGCTGGTCGGAGCAGGACCGGACGGCGATAGAATGGCGGGAATTGTTGTTAAAATTGGTTCAATTTTACAAGAATGTATTCATTTCCTCTGTGATGGTTTATTGTGTGAAATGTTCGGGCAACGCTGCTTGTTTAACTAATGATCAACATTAGAGAAACGAAATTTGAAACATGTAAAATGTACTCTGAACTTTTTAATACTCAAGATTTTCTTCTTTTGTGATTTTTAATTTAAAACAAATATTTATGAGGGTAAGAGATACTTATTTGAAGCTGGACAATCATAGTTGCCACGACAACGGATTTTGTTGAGCGTTATTCCTAATGTTGTAAAGGTTTACCTTCGACATACTGCATGCTTTTTCTGGTGTAAAAAGCATACCGACATTTTCCTTTGCGTATTGCAATTGCCATTAATTCCTCTACCGTTTCGCCTTCAGAAACGTAGAAGAAAATCTCGTGAGTGCTTTTCGATTTACTTGATTGCTTTTATTTCATCGGAATATTACTTGCAAAACTCCGTACATTAACGAGACACTAAGCATTGCTAATAGACTCCATAAGTCATTTGCTTTCAATGACGTCTGTACGTCCTGAACTTCGCTAGCAGAACAGATAATGTCGTAGTTGTATTCAAACATTGTGAAAGCAGCCATTATTTCTAACGTTTTACTGATTCAACTTATCACACGAATAAGCCTCGATATGTTATTGAACAACGTGTTGATTAAAAATCGTCCACAAATCTTGAGCAACAACGAACCGTGTGCACGTGAAATGGCACAAGACACGTTTATTCATCTCATTATGCCGAACATACTAGTATATTTTTAATCCATAGTGAGTCACCAAAGATTCACTATAAATACATGTTTTATGACGTTGATTTTAGAATACGATAGTACCAACCTGGAAATTCAATGCGTATCGGCAACGTATTCCAGCGCAGAGTGATTAAGAGGTCATGAGTTCGATTGAGGAAACGGACCGGAAATTAATTTGATCTGTTTTAACATCGGTGCGTTTGTGGGCGTGTCGGAATCGAATTCGTGGTCCTACAGTGGTTTCCGCGATTTCCCTGATCACTTACGGATTATGGCGGATCAGCTTCGTATACAATGGGCCACGGACCGCGCGCAAACTTCACTTCCAATTCTCTCCCCATCATCGTACTCCTCCCCAACACAGTCTGAAGCGCCGTGGCAGAATGCATCGCATCCTAACCTGTTCGTCCAAACTGGCGTATTCTGGTGGAGAGACCTGGCGGGCCCTGCAATTACTACGCGGGACCAACGTTAGGCAAAAGATCTTAGTGCTGTGCTCTATAGAGGTAATCAGCTTTGAGGTACACATATTTAGGGATTTTTAGTTAAAATTGTTAATATATTTTAATCTAATTATTACTTTACTCGGTGGTCACACATTCTTCGAGATTCCTTGTGGTTTGTTGTAGTCTCATTCCTTGGTTGTTCCCTGTTATATGCTTACATTAAATGCTCGTAATTTTAAGAAACTGATTACCATTTTACCGCTTGTTAAATATTTCGATGGCTGTATTACTTATTCACTCTACGTTTGTCAATAACAAGAAACCTACTTGAATCAGGAAAGCACAAACAAGTAAAAGCAGTCAACATAATCTGAAAGTTAAAATGTCGTAATTACATGCTTGCAAAGTGCACATTATCTTCAAACATGCTGATTCGAGTGAAGTTCTAATAAAATATAATCGTTATCTGTTCTTCCCATTTTTATTCTTACGAAAAAATAATGAAAAAATCTAAAACGAGACTTTTTTTTCTATCTTACGACAGACACAAAAAACAAAAATTTTGTGAGTCGTGTAGGCTACACATTATGGAATGAGAGTTCAAAAAGCAGGTTTTATTTAAGAAAATCTGGTTTATAAATTTCAAAACGTCTTTAAAATATAGAATATTCATACAATGCTTTCTATAGTTTACGTCAACTATATATAAATAATACTCTATCTCTATACGCCACTTCGCTAAGACGAACTGCAACAAAAGTTTGCCAGGATGCATCCCATGCGTCGAACACGAGACCTAATGAATGCGTTTTCTCATGCTCCTATTCACTTCAAAAATCGAATTCCTCGCTGCCCCAATAGAGCACTGAATACGATGTCCATTCCGGCACATCCCGCCTGTGTCCAGAGACGTGTGTGTTGTTCGCCGTCGGACAATAGGTGCAGCGGCGCGGATAGCGTGTCTCGCGGTCGCGGGCTTAGCCCAGAGGCACCGTTAGCACGTGCCCCGCAAGCAAAATAGCTGGCAGCACAAAAAAAACGAAGCTATCATTCTACCCCCCCCCCCGTCGTTAGGTAAACTAGAACGGTTATGCATCCGAAGAGGATCGGTTTAAAATATTTACGGACTCTAAGCGAGACCGAACAATAGGTTCAATAATATTGTTAAAAGATTATAATATTGTTGGAAGATTGTGTATTAACCTTGCAATTAAAAAATTATATATTAAATTAATAAATACATTATACATTGTCTACGGTTTTGTATGAAAGTGTTCCAAAACTAGATTTCCTATTTTTTTTTTTTTAAACAGAGATAAATTATGTTTTTGTATATCACAAATAAAACAGTTAATAATTATTTTGGGTACTTATAAACTAATATAAAATTGCATGTTAAAAAATATTGGAGGACCTCCATTTCGTATTGGCAGCCCCAAGTTCGTATACGTTAGTCTATTTATGTATAACTCTACCTCTGCCTGCGAACAGGCACAATCAAGCCTTAACGACTGTTATTCAGCCGCGTATGAACTCGCATTCACCTATGTGTAAAGTGTACACCTATTTGTCAAATGCCCACCAACACGTGCTACCATAAGCTCATGCAACATTCACAATTTTAAGATGACTTTTAAAATTGTTAGGGTTGAAGAAATGAACGAAGGAACTCCTGTAAAGATCTTTCATATTTTTCTAGAATCTTCATTTAAATGCGACATTATTTCACCTGAATGAAAATCAGTATTGGTAATTTACTGTTGTAATACTGTTCATCATGTGTGATTAATTGCCATGAACAATTAAGCCTACTAAAATGAATAGTATACCGAAGAGTAATTTAATTAAGTTCTTAGTCTGAGATTAAAAAAGTTTCTGTATTTCAAGTTCTTGTTTTATTTCTTCAACTTACTTATGGCCACCTCCAACTCCTTGAAGTAAACCCACAGTATAAATTGCATATAGTACTTTTTGGTCTTCCGCAAATATACTGGTATTCTTGTTTCGTTATGTTATCCGCCAGAATACTTATCACTACTTTACTCGATAAATATTTTATACTTTTAATGTTATGTTTAATGTTTCTTTCAGCATAGGAAATTAATTATAGAAAAAGCTAATTATGACAGATGAAGCGAGATGTTAACGACGTGTTGAAAGCCAATTTCATTAATTTTCTGCTTTGCAAGTAAGTCGAAAAAAGTTGAACGGAAAAAAGCCTATCTTCCTAGATTTTCCTTAGGCATATTTACAAAGAGGTTTCTCTCATGCTTGGTTAGTTGAAGAACACACCCCATCAGCGTATTATCTCATTGTAAATAACATGTAATAATTAATTTTTGATCTTACAAACTAAATGCATCGTTGCTGATATTTAAAAAGGAAATTTCTTTAAGCACGGTAGGGCTTAAAAGTAGATTTCCATTCTTCCATGTGCTCTGGTTTCTATATTTCAATAACAGTTTCATGAATAAACTATTTTAAAAGTTGGAAGAGTCTTCAAGCTGACGGCAAATCAACTTGAAAGTTTTCACTTTGTCTCTCTTATGATCAGCATTCAACATTGTTACTTTTTGTAATTAGCATATGTTTTTTAATAAATGAAAGACATGAGAAAGGGGAGACCT